CTAATCATTTTGGTTGCCCTCCACTGGACCCTCTCCAATGCGTCCACATCCTTTTTGTAGTTGGGGGCCCAGAACTGGACACAATACTCCAGATGTGGCCTCACTAGAGCTGAATAAAGGGGAATAATGCCATCTCTGGATCTGCTGGCAATGCTCCTCTTAATGCAACCTAATATGTCATTAGCCTTCTTGGCTGCAATGGCACACTGTTGACTTGTATCCAGCTTCTCATCCACTGTCACCCCCAGGTCCCTTTCTGCAGAACTACTACTTAAGTGGCTGTTCCTCAGCTTGTAACAATGTATGGGATTCTTCAGTCCCAAGTGCAGGACTCTGCACTTGTCCTTGTTGAAACTCATCAGATTTCTTGTGGCCCAATCCTCCAATTTGTCTAAGTCACTCTGGACCTTAACTCTGCCAGATGTCCCCAGTTCTCCATCACGGCAAGGGGGCTGGACACTATCCTCAGAACATGGTAATGGCACAATCTGGTCCTAAATGAAAAGAAACCTTACACAAATATACACAGTATAAAAGTAAATAATAAGTTAAAACGCAAGTGGTCAGAAAATTCGTGTTTAAATATACTGTATAACATGCAAGGCAAGGTTAACCTTACAAATGGAAATATAAAACAAATACTAACTTTATGCAGTGTGCTATGCCTGGTTTTATTTAACATAATGAACAATTTTATCATCTACCATTTGTAAGTCTATCTTAGCTTCCAAATACCTGTTTCTAGCTACTTGGGAACTGTTGTGGTTAAAATTTAGCCAACTTTCCTTTTGTGAATCCATGCTGTGTATTCCTAATCGCTTTCCTCTCTTCCAAGTGCTTCAAAATGGACTCCTTAAGGATCCCTTCCATGATTTTTCCAGGAACCGAGGTAAGACTGACCAGCCTATACTTCCCTGGATCGTCCTTCTTCACTTTTTTGAAGATGGGCACTACATTTGCCTTTTTCCATCATCTGGGATTTCTCCCGATCTCCATGACTTTTCAAAGATAATGGCCAAAGGCTCCTCAATGAAATTTGCCAACTCCCTTAGTATCTTCGGATGCATTAAGTCCAGACCCATGGATTTGTGTATGTTTAGCTTTTCTAAATAGTTCCTAACCTGTTCTTTACCCACCAAGGGCTGTCCATCTTCATCCCATCTTGCGTTACTTAGCGCATTAGTCCAGGAGTCCACTTTGTCCGTGAATACAGAGGCAAAGAAATCATTGAGTACTTCAGCTTTCCCCACATCATCTGTCACTAGGTTATCTCATTCATCCAGTAGGGGCCACACACCCTCTCTGATCACCTTCTTCTTGTTAACATGCCTGTAGAAATCTTTCTTGTTATCCTTCACATCCTTAGCCAGTCGCAATTCCATTTGCGCTTTCGCCTTCCTGATAACCCCCTGGCATTCTCGAGCTATACATTTAAACCCCTCCCTGGTCATTTGTCCATGTTTCCACTTTTTGTAAGCTTCCTTTTTGTGCTTAAGTGCCCTAATCTTCCTCAAATTCCTGATTTATGGAAGGTCAGATTAAACTGGTTTGGAATACACTGAGTAGTGTTGGATGAATCTGAAAAAAATCAGTTTAGATTGACATTTCAGTGGTTGGATATTTCTCTGGAAATCTCTCATGAGAACTGCAACTCTCATGAAAACGGAATATCTTGAAAGATTCTCAGTACATCCTGTTTCTTAACTAGACCATTATGTGGTGCCTTTTGGCAAGTGCTGATTCTTTTATGACCACCATAGTACAATATTACTTCTGCCTGCTCAGAGGCAAAGTGATCGGGATAGGGTATTGGAGTTGGAATCAGGAAACCTGATTTGCATATCTGCTGCCTCTCAGACTTTCTGTGTCACCTTGACCAAGGTGTCTACTTTTTCACTTGTGAATAATTGTATTTCATCTACATATGATATACTTTGAGAACTGTGGATGAGACCCCTTTAGAGAAGTACTAATATTTATTAGCAGGGTCTAGTATATTTACTGTAGTTTACAATAATTTGTTACCAGGTGGTAAGAACCAGTTCAGCACAGTATAGAGAAACAAGTGCTATAAAGAATGATCACTAACCGAACCATAGTTCGGTTAGATACGCTTAAGGGCAGAGATAGGATCCAGAGTGACTTAGACAAATTGGAGGATTGGGCCACTAGAAATCTCATGAGATTCAACAAAGACAAGTGTAGAGTCCTGCACTTGGGACGGAAGAATCCCAAGCATAGTTACAGGCTGGGGACCAACCAGTTAAGTAGTAGTTCTGCAGAAAAGGACCTGGGGGTTACAGTGGATGAGAAGCTAGATATGAGTCAACAGTGTGCCCTTGTAGCCAAGAAGGCTAATGGCATATTAGGATGCATTAAGAGGAGCATTGCCAGCAGATCCAGAGATGTCATTATTCCCCTTTATTCGGCTTTGGTGAGGCCACATCTGGAGTACTGTGTCCAGTTCTGGGCCCCCCACTACAAAAAGGATGCGGACGCATTGGAGAGGGTCCAGCGGAGGGCAACCAAAATGATTAGGGGTCTGGAGCATATGACCTACGAGGAGAGGCTGAGGGACTTGGGTCTGTTTAGTCTGCAGAAGCGAAGAGTGAGGGGGGACTTGATAGCAGCCTTCAACTTCCTGAAGGGAGGTTCCAAAGAGGATGGAGAGAGGCTGTTCTCAGTAGTGACAGATGGCAGAACAAGGAGCAATGGTCTCAAGTTGTGGTGGGAGAGGTCCAGATTGGATATTAGGAAAAACTATTTTACTAGGAGGGTAGTGAAGCATTGGAATGGGTTACCTAGGGAAGTAGTGGAGTCTCCATCCCTAGAGGTGTTTAAGTCTCGGCTTGACAAAGCCCTGGCCGGGTTGATTTAGATGGGATTGGTCCTGCCTAGAGCGGAGGGCTGGACTTGACGACCTTCTGAGGTCTCTTCCAGTTCTGATTCTATGATAAGGGGATGGTTGGATGAAATAACATGATCTTGGTAACTAATTGACCATTCATTTCCAGTTGGAAATAGGTCAATGGAGGGATGATAGGAGTTGCTATAGGGAACTTTCTGGGTGTCTGGCTGGTGAGTCTTGCCCACATGCTCAGGGTTTAGCTGATCGCCATATTTGGGGTCAGGAAGGAATTTTCCTCCAGGGTAGATTGGCAGAGGCCCTGGAGGTTTTTCGCCTTCCTCTGTAGCATTGGGCACAGATCACAGCTGAAGGACTCTCTGCATGTTGGGTCCTTCAAAGTATTTGAATGCTTCAATATCTTTGATATAGGTGAGAGGATTATTCTAAGAGGGGTGGTTGAGATTCTGTGGCCTGCACTGTGCAGGGGGTCAGACTAGATGATCATAATGGTCCCTTCTGACCTTAAAGTCTATGAATCTATGAATAGTTGACTTGAAGACCACTGGTGTCACTTGAGAATGTATAGCTTTGCTGCTTAATGGGAAATCCCACACACAATGTATGTATCAGATGTGTTCTGGTCTCTGTCAGTTTTAGCAGAGATCATGATGTATGAATAGGAAAAGTTTTCTCTCAAATTCTGGCTCTTGAAGCCAAAGTTTATATTGTTTTCCCTCACTAAAATTAAATTAAAACAACCTGTCTACCAAGATCAGATTTATTTGGCCATTATTGAGTTACATCAGTTCCTATGAAATAGGAGACTAAACCAGACCAAATATGATTCTGTAAATAGAGCCCATTCCAGTTCTATTATATAAATAGAGCTCAGTAGCACAGATTCACATGCTTGTATGCTGTGATTGACCTATTACTATTCTGTACCAAATAAGGATGCAAAGATCATTCTGCTTTGATCAGCAAGTGGGTGGATGAGGTTGTGATGAGTTTCATCACAGAGATCCTCCTGAGACTCTAACTTGGTGTGCTGAAATTATCCCTTAGCCAATTTACCTGCCCTCTGGGGTGCCCTCACTCCCTGTCCCTCTAAGCCAAAAGTTCTGGTCTCCCCCAGTGATGGTGCAAACTTGAGGTCAGCCCACAGAATAGCAATATAAACACTAAAATCCATTTTGCCCTGGGGAGGCTCAGTTGAAGGATCTTAACACAGCAGCAAGATGTGCAGCCCAGTCACCACAGCTCTTTTTTGTGATAATAGAAATAATGAAGGGACGCCCCATCTTGTCCGAACACCTCTCATCATTGATCACCTCCTGCATCAGAACCTAACTAAACCAGACCTATCACTGACAGCTCACTCCATGAGAGCACAGGCATTCTCGGTGGTGTTCAACACACAAATCTCCATTCAGGACATTTTCAGGACAGTGAGATGGTCATCTGTTCACAGCTTTGTATCCCACCAATATCGTGGGCTGGTTGGGAAAGGTGCATGACACCCACATCTTTCAGAACTCCTTCATCTTCCAAAAGATGCACATCGGAACTTTGTTCCCCAACCAGCCAATCAGAGTCAGAGAGGTAGACACGCTCATTGTGATCGTGAGTGACGCAGCTTACCCCTTGCTTCCATGGCTCATGAAGCCTTACACAAACAGCCTGGACTCCAGCAAGGAGGAGTTCAACAAAAGGCTGAGCAGGTGCAGAATGGTGGTGGAATGTGCATTTGGACATTTAAAGGGAAGGGTCAGCAGTCTTCTGACTCGCCTGGACCTCAGTGAATGCACCACCCGTGTGGTGGCAGCATGTTTTATGCTCTGTAACCTGTGCGAGAGCAAGGGGGAAGCTTATCTGGCGACGGGGGGAGGGCTGAGGCAGAGCCCCTAGCCAGAGAGTTTGAGTAGCCAGACACCAGCGTGATCAGGAGAGCACAGCAAGGGGCAGTTAGAATCAGAGAGGCCTTAAAGGGCAGTTTTATGCAAGGCCTCTTTTGAGACTCTGCCAGATAGCTTCCACAAGATGCCCCTGCATTCCCTGTGTTTCCCTTTAATTCCCCACCCCACCCTACCTCTTCAGTTCAACCAATAAAGAAACTGTTATTCAATGAACACGAGTGTTTATTGGGGGAAAACAACAGGGAAGTGGAAGAACTGGAAACCGGAACAGGGGGCTCAGGAATGGGAGACTTCTGCCTCCAAAGGGCTTACAGATTCCCCTTGAGTTCCCCTCCCCCATGTCCTAGGGCACTGGCAGCCCCTAAAGATCCTGGGGATATAAATCATGGGGCTGGTGCAGGAGGGACTAGGAGTGCCATTGGAGCAGTTCTGGTCCATGACCCTTTCAAGGCAGGATGGCACACACTCCATAACAGTGCCTGGATATTCGCCACAAGGGTATGCATGCAGTCCATTTGCTCCCTGATCATCTCTTCCCTCGTGCGTTTACATCTGCAGATATGAGCCAAGGTGGGCAGATGCTGTAGGAGGTTAAAGACGTGGATCTGGCTGCTGTCCCAGCTGCAAAGAAAAGTTACAAGGGCAGACTTTAAAGAAAATATATTGTGTTAAGCTGACCGTAATCTGTTAGTGTACAGCAAAGGTCTCTGGACAGACAACAGAGTTGTGTTCTGTAAAATGCAAAATGTTTGCTTCCAAGCAGGCACATTACAGCAGGTGCCCAGACTTATAAGGGGAATATTGTACACACTTGGTCTGAAGGCAGTGAGGTATGGTAAGGGGCCAGCCAGGGCCAGAGCCTGCAGGGGGGAAGAGGTATGACAAAGGGCGGCTTCCCTCTGTGTCCAGTATATGCAGCTTCCTGGGACAGTGCTACTTTCCCAGCTAGAGCAGGAACCTGTAGGTGGGGGAAAGGGCACTTCACACCGCACTGCCTTTACCCGTTTGTAGTTAGACAAAATTTGTGAACTCATCAGAAGTGTCCTGGACTGCGAGACATCCTGGGAGAGGAGGACTGGCTCCAGTGACATGACCAGTTCCTGGCTCTCTGGTACCAGCGGCTGACTACTCTCCTCCTCCTCCTCTTCTTGCCCCTTCACTCTCACGGTGTCCTCCAAGTTGACACCAGGCGTATCTTGTCTGAACTCAATGACCGTGCTGGGGACACTGGCTGGGCCACCCCCAAAATGGTGGCCAGCTTGTCATAGAAGTGGCACATGTGTGGTGCTACACCAGACTGTCTACTCTTGTCCTTCACCTTGTGGTAAGACTGGTGCAGCTCCTTGATCTTGACATGGCTTTGCTGTGTGTTCCTGGAATAAGTGTGTGTTATTTACCCCTGAGACTATTGCAGATTAGAGCCTTTCAGGACTACTGGCTAGTTATGTAATTAGGCAAGGAGTCTTAAAAAACCAACATTTTAAGTAACTGTTAGATTAGAGAAGGTTCTTCACAGATCTTCTTGTTTACTGAATAATTACATAATTGGATAGAATTTAAGTTACTTTGATTTGTGCATGCCAGACTGGAAAGAGTCTTTTCTATATAATCTCATTACATTATTTTAAAAGCCTTAAAATATTTTAGAAAAATTCAGGAGAGCAAATTTATTAGGTTTTTTTTTCCATCAGCACCATCCCAAATTGCCATTTACTATTTAGATAATAAATAATAGCTTATCTGATTTTTCAAATGTCAAGCAAATTTTTTGTTAATCCAAGAAACTGATTTTATTTATGAGATTATGAAAAAATGTATTGAACTGATTAAAAAAATAACTAACATTTCTGTCAGTCAGAGGCTGAGAGTTCCATAGGGCCTCCTGACATTAGCAAAGGGTGTGCATAGTTTTTGAGTGATGGGGAGAATGTGACTCTTCTCAGTCAAAGGGAGGACTTGGTATGAGCTATTTAGTGAAAAGGACTCTAGTTATAAAAATGTAATGTGGAGGTCTTATCACAATGGAAAGAAAACCTAGAACTAGAAACACATTTCTCTTATTAAAACCACAAATAATAACTGTCTTCTTGTTATTATTATTGACCTGTACAAAAGACTCTTAGGCTGCAGTCTGGTACTTCATGTTAAGCATAGCAAAAAAAAAAAGTGTCAGTGGTGGCAACATAAATACTAAGATGTTGGCCCAAAGAGAGGGAAATTTACAGAGTGAAAGAAGAAAATTGAGAGACTGTTGTTCCTCTAAAATATGATGTCAGTGCAGGATCTAACCCAAGCTTCTCACTCTCTCAATAATCAGTGGATACAGCCGCAAATATTAATTCTGACCATACTCTTTGTAATCCTCATCTTGTTTCCTACCCTAACACCAAAGGAAAGAGATGAGCAGTCTAGGATAGCTCGGTGGTTCTCAATTATGCTTATGGGGCCCAGTGAGAGGCCACAGGGAGGTTTCAGGGGTTCTGCCAAAACCTTTCAGAGAATAGGGCTGAAGCTGAAGCCTGAGCCACATTGCCTTCAGCTAAAGCTGAAGCCCTAACAACTTAGCTTTACTGTATACCTGTGATGTGGGCCTCAGGAAGTCACCCTGCTTGCTAAACCTTACTACCAGCTCTAGTTTTTAATCCACTGGCTATGCAGAAAAAGAGTTGTGGAACAGACAGACAGTGGAATTTTAATAGTGAATTAGGGGTGAGCTCAGAAAGAAAAAGGTTGAGAATTATTGTATGCCCTCTCTCTTTCTCATGTGGTAGCTAATTTAGTCAGAATGGCTTAATACCGTACAGATTCTAGGTTTTATACCTGAAACAAATTAAGGGGATTTTTATTCAAAAAATAACACTTGTCATTCCACAATCTTACTAGCCATGTGGACAAAGAGACTGTTTTGAATATTTTTAGCCTAAGGAAAAGAATAAAAAATCATTTTATCCATGCTTACTCTCGTATTTCATGCTCCTTTATCATGGCTGTCCTGATTATCTTCTTTATTCTGTCTTCTTTGCCATCCACCTGTTGATTCCTCAAGCCAAGAAATGGGGAGTTAGCGTAGGATTGCAGTAACTGTTGCTACCCTAAAGCAAATTTTAGAGGACAGCATAGCGATGACCTTTTTGTTTTGGTAAACAAGCACCAAATTGTTCTAAGCCCTGGATCATAATGTGCCTTTGATTTCAAACCTACATCACATACATTTTTTCTTGTTCATCCAAGGACTTCTGTGTCATTCCAAGATTGATCAACTAAAGTGATAAGATGCTGAATATAATACTATTTTAGAACTATCTATGAATGGGTGGCAAATAGAATTTGATGAGATTTAGATATATATGATTTAAGTAACAGTGCAGCCTGAATGAGAGAGAAATTATAAATAAAAAAACCTGCGAATGCAGTACTGAAGATAAGACTTTAAATTTACAATAGCAGAGAATTCATGGCAAACTTTAACCCATTTGTAACAAATGGGCCAGTTTCAGAGGTAGAAGTGAATGGAGCTATTGAAAATTTAAATAATATATTTTGAAGAAAATATCAACTAATATATAGCAAGTAGTCAAAGTGCCATTTAAAATATATGATAAGAACCATAAGGAAAATAACCATTGATTTCACAGATAAACTGGGATGAGAGGGGGGGAAATATGCATCAAACCTTGAATAAGTATTAAGTATATTTTTATTTTTTGTCTCTACAGGAATTTCATCTGCCCCATCTGAGATTCATTATGGTACCTTGCAGTGAGAAATGACTTCCTCTGAAGAATATAGGTGCCACAATGACAGAAAGATAGTGGTCTTGTTTCCCTCTGAGTTGACAAAGTGAAATGGTGCTCTTAAAGAGATAAGTGTTTATTATACTTGGAAACCCAAACTGTGTAGCTGGACGATTTTTCCTGAACCTGCACTCCAGTGTTCTAATGGACGATTGACAGTGGCATCATGTAGTAGTCCCTGAAGTGTTATCATAACTGAGTTGCAATGGTTTTGTACACTTCCCCATTTCCCAACAGCTTTCTATCAGTTCTGCATTCATTTTCCTGGGGCCTGATTTTCCCATGTTATTGGTTTGCAGACAGGCTTGTAGCCTCTTTTGTTCCTACCACCTATGAAAAACGTCAGAGGGCAGATGATCCATGCTACTTTCAAGCACTCTGCATTATTATTACCACTCCTATCTACTTGGCACTGCTATTAGCATCTCTTCCTTTTGCCTTGATCGGCTTCTTGTTATGGTCACCTCTCCAGTCAGCTAGAAGGCCATATATCTACTCTAGGCTTGAAGACAGGAGCCAGGCCAATGGAGCTACACTACTTGCTGAATGGAAAGCTACAGGCAATGGGAAAAGCTTCTGCTTTGGCAGTGCCAATGTTTGTCTGCTACCAGATTCTCTGGCAAGATTTAACAATGTGTTTAACACACAAGCACGAGCTAGAGAAATTGGGCGGAGAATCAGAAATGGGGCAAGCAGACCACAAATAAAAATCTATATAGATTCTCCCACTAACACATCCATCAGCGCAGCAAGTTTCAGCAGCTTGGTATCTCCCCAAGGTGGAGATAGCAATAACCGCGCTGTCAATGTTGGCATCAAAAGGACATCATCTCTGGAATACAAGGGAGATAATTCTGGCTCCAATAATAGTGAGGATAGTAGAGATGCTAAAGCTGGAGAGGACCTAAATGAGGGAGAAGACAACAATACATGTATTGTGCGCATAAATGGGGAGGATAATGGCCACGTTTCAGACCCAGAAGCAGATGCCATTTGTGCCCAGGCTAATACTAGTGGGCCAGCAGAACACTCATTGGAAGGTGAAAGACAGAGCCCAAAGGGTCAAATATCCAACCATAAACAGAAAGAAGGAGATTCTGGGAGTTTAGACAGCTATGCTGCCTCACGAGAGTCCCTGGTTAAGGTTCGCATTGGAGATGGCACAGTGGACCAAAGCAGCATCAACAACAAACTCCTTTACAAAGCCTCGGTCATGAAGAAGACCTCTACAAGGAAAAAGAAGCATACGGATGAAAACTTTGACCACGAGATATCTGCTTTCTTCCCTGCTAACTTGGACTTCCTATGCTTGCAGGAAGTGTTTGACAAAAGAGCAGCAGAGAAGTTGAAACAGCAGCTCCATCACTATTTTGAATACATTCTATATGATGTTGGGGTCTATGGCTGCCATGGCTGCTGTAGCTTTAAGTTTGTTAACAGTGGCCTGCTTTTTGCCAGCCGCTACCCAGTTATGGATGCTGCTTATCACTGTTACCCCAATGGAAAAGGAACGGACTCCTTGGCTTCCAAGGGAGCCTTGTTTCTCAAGGTAAGACCTTTTCTTTATGAAACCCATAACTGATTCTAATACATGCTTGATTATAAATCAACTGTACTGCTTGTCAATAAACTCTGTTAGAGATAGGTTATAGACACAGTGTTCAGATCTGGTTTACATTTAGGCTGGAGAATTTGAGGCTTAGGGATCATATGAAGGTGACAGAGGCTATGTCTAGACTGCAGGCTTCTTTCAGAAGAAGCTTTTTCAGAAGAGCACTTCTGGAAAGAGAACGTCCACACTGCAAAAGTGCATCGAAAAAGCTATCTCCTTTTTCAAAAGATAGCGTCCATTCATTGTAGATACTATCTCGCATTTCAGCAGTGATTACTATGGACGGAGTAGCCACCAGGGCACCTGTGGTTTTTCCTCTATCCTCATCTTTCAAAAGAACTCCCTCTCCCCGTACACACATGGACTCAAGGTTCCCACACTAACGCTCTAGCTCCCCTCCAGATTGGTGATAGAAATGTAGCCGTGTTAGCCTGGGGTAGTTGAAGCAAAATGCAGGACAATGTAGCACTTTAAAGACTAACAAGATGGTTTATTAGATGATGAGCTTTCGTGGGCCAGACCCACTTCCTCAGATCAAATAGTGGAAGAAAGTAGTCACAACCATATATACCAAAGGATACAATTTAAAAAAATGAACAAATATGAAAAGGACAAATCACATTGCAGAACAGGAGGGGGATGCGGTGGGGGGGAGGGGGAAGGAAGGTAAGTGTCTGTGAATTGCTGATATTAAAGGTAGGGAGAGTGGGATGTTTGTGAGTTAATGGTATTACAGGTGATAATTGGGGAAACTGTCTTGGTAATGGGTGAGAAAGTTCAAAGACTTGTTAAGTCCTTGTTGGTAAGTGTCGAATTTTAACATGAATGACAGTTCAGAGGATTCCCTTTCAAGTGCAGATGTAAAAGGTCTTTGTAGCAGAATGCAGGTGGCTAAGTCATTTAGAGAGTGTCCTTTCTGGTTAAAGTGGCAAGAAACTGTTTTCTCTTTGTGATCTTGTCTGATATCTGTTTTGTGGGCATTAATCCTTTGGCGAAGTGTCTGAGATGTTTGTCCAATGTACATAGCAGACGGACACTTTCGGCACACGATAGCATAGATTATATTTCTGGATGCGCAGGGATATGTGTTCTTGATCTTATAACTCACTTGGTTGGGTCCAATAATGGTATCAGCAGAATGAATATGTGGACAAAGCTGGCAACGGGGTTTGTTGCAAGGGAAGGTACCAGGGTTGGTATTAGTGTGGTATGTCCTGTGGTGGTTGGTAAGAATGATCTTGAGGTTAGGTGGTTGTCTGTAGGAGACTATGGGTCTGTCTCCCAGAGGCTCTTTGAGTATGGTATCCTGTTCCAATATAGGCTGTAGTTTATTGATAATGTGTTGGACAGGTTTAAGTTGGGGGTTGTAGGTGATGACAAGTGGTGTTCTATTGTTGGTTTTCTTGGGTCTGTCTTGAAGTAGATGGTTTCTAGGTATTTGTCTGGCTCTTTCAATTTGCTTTTTTATTTCTCCGGGTGGGTAGTTGAGGTTTATAAATGCTTGGTAGAGATCCTGAAGCTTCTGGTCTCTGTCAGTGGGATTAGAGCAGATGCGGTTGTTTCGAAGGGCTTGGCTATAGACGATGGATCGTGTGGTGTGTTCTGGATGGGAGCTGGAAGCATGTAGGTAACTGTATGAGTCGGTTGGTTTTCTGTAGAGAGTGGTGTCTAATTTTCCATTCACAACTTTGGGAGCATCGTGGGGTGGGTTTTTTTTTCCATTTTCTTAAGATAGTTCATTTAAATAAGCTGATGGTTGTAAGACCATATGTTTTGAAGTACAGGGTTGTGCTTGTAAAGGTCAGAGGTGGGAGATGTTAGACATTTCCATACAATTAGTTAGTTTTGCAACATTGACAATGCCTTGGGTTGAATTCTTATGAAACTGGTTGTCTCACTGGAAACTAGAAAGCAGACCCTTCCCATTTTGGATTTGACCAAGAACCAAAACTAGAGGACTAGGCTCAGATCCAGGGGTTCAAGTCCAAATATATGCAGAAGCCCCCAGGAATATTGGTTTCAGGTTCTGGACTTTGACATGTTTTTTCCTGGAATGCAGCCTTGACTGCAGGACTGCTGAGTCTTCTGTCCCTCAAACCTGGGCTCCCTCTTACACTGTGATGCTTTTGGAAAGCTACAAACTTTGGGAGGTATTGCACTTATGCAGGCATCAGTAAGCAGGGACACACCCAAATGAGTTACACGAGAACGTCTCCTAGCCACTCATGAACCAACAATAGAGACACTCCAGTCAATCCCCCACGACCTTGCATCCCAGAACTATACCATCTGGCCTTGGTCGAAGCCTGACCAATAAAAGTTCATTACCCAGTCCGTCCCCTCTACATGAGGAGAGGACACACACTAGCCTTTGTAAACTGAGCTGAGATTTCCCAAGCACTTCAGCCAACACTGTTGTAGATAAAATATAAAACAGATGCATTAATTACAGAAAGATAGATTTTAAGTGATTATAAGTTATAGGTGTAGAGATCAAAGTTAAGAACTTAAGAAATCAAGGTAAATTAGCTATCTGAGTTCAGTAAACTAAACAGGATTTGAATTAAGCAGTATCTCAATCCTGAAAGTATAAACAGGCCAGAAATCTTCAATACTCAGTCTGGAATTCTCCTCCAACTCAAGACAACCCTCCCCAATTCAAAGTCTTTGTCCTCCAGACAGGTTTCCAGATGTTAAATTGTAGAGAGAGTGAGGCCAAATCATTAATTCACTTCCCCTCTTCATAGTTTCTTCCAACTTTTGGAAAGATTGATGGTTGTGACATGGAGGTCCACCCCCTTTAATCAAACAGACTCCATTTTCTACATGGTGTTTCGGAGAGGTTTTCTGAGATGGGCATGAGGAGTGTGGATTCCTTGTAATGGACTATGAACACATATGACTACTCCATTGTTGTACGTGAAAAGTTGGTTGTGGGTGTTCCCAACCTCACAGCATATTTCAGTAATGCACACACAGTAAAAGTTCATAACTTCACATACAATAATAGCACACACAATTCAACAGGTTAATAATGCTCAACAGACTAAGACTTTTAAAATAATACTACACAAAGCATACTTTGTAAAAAACATTGTGCAAGTGGTGAATACGAGGGTTTTAGAGTGCTGCTTTGAGGTACAGAGTGCCACACATAGCTCCAATTAAAGAATTATTTCTTCAGTCATTTAAGACCAAGGCTTCATTTACAAATAATAAAATGTTTCAAGTGTTCCAAGAAGATGCATTTTTCTTGCAAAAGTGCTGCTTAGATTGTGCAAAATCCATTATTGAAATAGTCATCAAGAATAAGACTTTGAAAGTATAGTTTAATAAGTATAATAAGGGGAGAAAAGGAGAAGGAGTTGTACCCTATGTAAGAGAGCAGTATGATTGCTCAGAACTCCAGTATATAGAGGGAGAAAAGGCTGTTGAGAGTCTATGGGTTAAGTTTAGAGGTAGAACCACCAGGGATGATGATGTGGTTGGTGTGTGCTATAAACCCCATCAGGTGGATGAGGCAGATGAGGCTTTCTTCGGACAACTAAGAGAAGCTTCCAAATCACAGGCCCTGGTTCTCGTAGGGGACTTTAATCACCCTGACATCTGACCAATACAGCAGTACACAGACAATCCAGGAAGTTTTTGGAGAATGTTGGGGATAACTTCTTGGTACAAATGCTGAAGGATCCAGCCAGGGACCATGTGCAGCTTGACCTGCTGCTCACAAACAGGGAGGAACTAATAGGGGAAGTAGAGGTGGGTGGCAACCTGGGAAGCAGTGATCATGAGATGGTAGATTTCAGGATCCTGACCAAAGGAAGAAAGGAGAGTAGCAAAGTACACACCCTGGACTTCAGAAAAGCAGACTTTGACTCCCTCAGAGAACTGATGGGCAGGATTCCCTGGGATGCTAACATGAAGGGGAAAGGCGTCCAGGAGAGCTGGCAGTATTTTAAAGAAGCCTTATTGAAACACAGGAAGAAACCATCCCAACGTGCAACAAGAAAAGCAAATAAGGTAGGCGACCAGATTAGCTTGCTGGGGAAATCCTTGGTGAGATTAAACGCAAAAGGGAAGCTTACAAGAAGTGGAAACTTGGACAGATGACATGGGAGGAATATAAATATATTGCTTGAGAATGCAGGGGAGTTATCAGGAAGGCAAAAGCACAATTGGAACTGCAGCTAGCAAGGGATGTGAAGGGTAACAAGAAAGGTTTATATCGGCATGTTAGCAATAAGAGGGTGATCACATTACTGCATGAGGGAGGTAACCTACTGACAGATGATGTGGGAAAGCTGAAGTACTCCATGCTTTCTTTGCCTCTGTCTTCAAGACAAGGCCAGCTCCCAGACTAGTGCACTAGGCAACGCAGCATGGGAAGGAGGTGGGCAGCCCTCGGTGGAGAAAGAACAGGTTAAGAACAATTTAGAAAAGCTAAACATACACAGATTCATGGGTCCAGATTTAATGCATCCGAGGGTACTGAGGGAGTTGGCAAATGTCATTGAGGAGCCTTTGGCCATTATCTTTGAAAACTCATGGAGATCGGGAGAGATCCCGGATGATTGGAAAAAGGCAAATGTAGTGCCCATCTTTAAAAAAGGAAAGGACAATCCAGGGAACTACAGACCAGTCAGCCTTACCTTAGTCCCTCGAAAAATCATGGAGGGGGATCCTCAAGGAAACCATTTTGAGGCACTTGGAAGAGGGGGAAGTGATTAGCAGGGCTCGACAAATACATTCACCCGCTCACCCGTGGAGAGTAGATTTTACCAGCTGGTGAGTGCAGGGGCAGACTGGCCCAGTGGGCCGTTGTGACGGGCTGGCTGAAGCCCGCACTACGGGCGGCACGGCCCCGTCCGATCCGCCGGCTGGGGGGGGGGCAGAGGGCAGCGAAGCCCGTTCCTCGGGGGGGGGGCCCCCATCCGATC